ATTTTAGCACAATCAAACCAGATCAACGAAATAAATTAGACACTCACCCCACATATTGTCAACACCTTTTGCTTGAAGGTCAACAGATAATGGGAATTGCTTTTTTTTTGCCAAAGTAGGCTGTTAAAGAGGAAGTTAGAAACGATTAAAAATGCTTCAATGAAAAGCAATTTTTGTTCTTACAAAATTCCGATCAAAACTTGTCGGAGAGGACGAAATGATAGAATTTGTTTGAGAAACAGAACGTGATCTTCCATGGAGTGCCTTAGATACCTCCTATATATATATATATATATATGTATGTATGTATGCATGTGTGTTAGATTTAACCTTATGAAGCTAATACCCCCAAAAACTAGACGGATCAAAACCCAAATAATAACCTCATCCCCCTCTGTCTCTTCCAATGTCTTCAAACGAAGACTAGAAAAATCTCGCGTCTTTGTTCGAGTGGAAGTTAGTTGCACAGGACCATTGACCGACGTAGGTATAAAGTTATTGAGAGAGGGGTTGCCATCTGTTAATAAAACATACCAAATAAATTAGTTCATAAATTCTGTGAGGAAAATTATAATAATCATATGATAGTATAATATAATAATAATGATGATAATAATAAAGAATGAGACGTAGATTGAATCTTAAAGGCACCTCATAAAAGCAACCTAAAAAATGTATTTTAAAACGAATTCAACCACCCTAAAACCTTCTTTGCATCCTGATCTACCATTAATCTTTAAAATTCATACCTTTCACCTGCTTAACAACGCCCAACTCGTCCTTCTTCGATGAACCCACCGCTTTTGTCTCCTCTCTCGCAACCCTCCCTTCGGTTGCCGTGGGTCCCGTCTTGTTACTTACAAACCAGCTTGGTGCGAGGACGTAGGAAGAGGTCGCCCTCCTTGGTCGGGGAGTGGGTGTGGTTGAAGGTTTGGAGATGGAGGTTAAATGTGAGGTGCCGTTTGGAGATGTGGTTGAAGTAGACTTTGAATTTGTAGTATTGGAAGGCATGGTGTATTGCAGGGTTGTATGAGGAGGCATGTTATTATTGAGAGAATCCGTGGAAACTAATCTATTCGTTTGCTATCAGATTCAAGTTTCTTGCCTGTGTGGATCCGATGTTGGCAAGGTTCAAAAGAGCTAAAAAAATGAACACAAATAACCAACTATTCCGGAACCACACTTATGGTACAACTTAATTGTCAAATAATTTTGTATAAAGTGTTCGTTTT